TCTTCTCTCATGATTCTCATGATCGCTGGGAATAGCAGCTTACAGTTAGATCTCTGATTTTTCTCCTTTTTTACCACAGAGCATTTTCTGATGCATTACAGTTTGTCGTTTGATTACAGTTCTTATTAGTTTGAGTTGTATAAATAGTGGACATGTGATTGGGCCTGAGCAGAACGTCCTACGCGGGTGATACATGGACACTCCATGGATTAGATTCCAACTGGTGCGAACTTCGAAACAGACTTTCTTTTTTCGATAGTATAGACTTGTAGAGGTAACGCCTTATGAACATGACGGCCGTTCCCTTGACTATCCGTAACGAGTTATAAATTTTCTGCTCCATCGTCACTTTTATGACACACGGCGACACTCAAGGTCATTTGAATGTTCGCGCCTTTGGAATCCCATTTTTCGTGGTGATTCCCTCTTCTCCCGTTCAGGTCGTTCTGTTTGAGGCCATTGACTTCCTACAAGAAGAAGTTGTGCAGGCTTCCTGCGTGGGACCATCTGATATCTCTTTGTGACTGGGCAATTCCGCACTTTCGACTTACGAACCCACGCAGGAACTCTTATAATTTCTCCGATTTCTAAGAATATGACTACGAATCGTTCCATTTTTAGATCCTATGTTGTTTTCTGTGTGTTTCTTATGTTTCTTTGAGATCCAGCTGTTGTATTCTCTTAATTTTTTTTTATCTTTTCTTATATCGCTACTCGAAGATCATACTGAATCAGGCTACTTGCGTGTACTTCCTTCAACCTCAGTCAAAATGTGAACTTAGGTAGAGCGCTGTAGGTAAAAATGGAGACGAACGAAGGACCTTGGCCTTTTCAAGCTTTTAAGCTCTAGTCTGCGCTTCCCGTTCAGTCAACAAGTTTGGAACTTGGCCAGTAGTTCATTCATCCATTCTCATGCATTTCCTCCCCTCTCCAGAATGAGGCAGAAATATCGATCCCTCCTACCCGGTATCCTTCGCACCATCCCAGGCTGATTCATTCGTGGCAATAACATTTGCTTTGCTGTGGCCTTCTGACAGTGAGACGCNGCCTTCTGACAGTGAGACGCCAAGCGTCACTGCTTCCGTCCCCTCCGTTCTTCGGCCCACTCCCACATCATTTTTACCATTCCTCATGTAGGATCTGCCCTAACAATTGGACCATAGCTATTTCGCATTAAAGCAGCTGTATGCGAGCGAAATTAATCCCGTTTTCAATGCTTGTGGGGGTTCGCTCGAATCGATTTCGATGGCATCCTTTAACTGTTACTGTCGTCCTTGGTTCGAAAAGAATGGTGTTGCGTTTAAGCCCTGGTTCGTTTTAGATCTCAGTCGCTGCTACCCCTTTGAGCTTACCACTTCTATCCCATTACTGTAAATTTTGGTAAAAATGGAATGGGCAGTCAATGGTGTCTCACGTCTGTGACAGCAAGGGCTGAAGAGCGACAAGTTTGACCGAGATATTTGCATTTTCGTTCCATCCTAAGGTCGAGGAGGATGGAACGAGCCTCAGTGTGAGTAAATCCTTGGCCAAGTGCCCAAAGTTAGAGTGAACTTTAACTACTTGGTAGAATAGTCTCTGTGGGAGCGCTGGGTAAAGATGAACGGCCGTCTACAACTCCATTTTCAATAAAAGTTCTCTTTCTTTCTAGCTTGTTCGTATGTTTCTCTTTCCATTTTCACTAGCAGATTTCGCAATTCTTGTGCTTTTGTGATACAGTAACCGCCCACAGTGAAATAGGGGAGGACTGGTCACTAGCAAAGCGAGACTGTGTTGCATCCCAGACCTTCAAGCCTGCGCGGGCTACTGTAGCACAAAATCTCGAGCTTCTATCCTCGTTTATCCTCTCCATGATGCTTTTGTTTACCTTCTTTAGCTTTTTTTGTATTGGTCATGGCATCATTTGTACATATTGTATATTATTGGCTCCCATGAATTTTTACGAAAAGGAGTTTTTGTTGACTTTTCAAGTGGGTGCTGTAAGACGATTTTCACGAAGCGTTTAAGCAACGGTCAGGTCCACCGTAGGTTTACTATTACATATTGAAGATAAGCAGTTTGGATTGCATAGAAAAATCCATTGGGATCCAAAAATCTAAGCTTAGTTATGGCCCTCAAGCGTTTTCTACTCATTTGTGATGCCGCATTCCCAATAAACCACGTTACAAACTCCGTCCTTAACTCTAAAATTGAAGTTCGAGCCTGAAGTTGCAGCTGTTTCTAGAGCCGTCTGTCTTCTTGCTAAGGTTTATCTTGCTAAGGTTTATCCCATGTATGCGACCTTGCACATGTCGCGATCTATCTAATAGGCCTTGATGGTTCTATACGGAGGGCTTAGAACCTCAAACTTCAGCAAGTTTTTCCAGTGCAGGGAGAGTCTCATACATCTACCCATTACCCTAGGGGAAAAGAAGATAATAAATTTTCATAAAAGGAGCGAAGACGTATGATTGCATGTTCCGTAATGGTGCGTATGTCTGTGTAGCTGTCTGGGTGACTATCACTTCATCGTGTTGTTTCCCGACATCGATCGACGAACGGCACTGAAAGCGCCGTTCAAAGCCAGTATGAACGCATCCATCTCACTGTGCACTACCTTTCTAGCGCTAATCCTCACAGCGCAGGAGGAGGAGGTGTATTGAATTTGCTTGCTTGTGATGATGCTTGAGAACGATTCTGAGGCAAGGAATGAAGTAAGAACGGGAGAATCGTTGTTGTGACTGGAGATGAGCTTATGAAAAATGGAATTGAAGAGCAAGTGACGAATAGGGCTATTTCACCGAGGGAGCAAGCCAAGATGAGCAGAAGGTGTGCCCACTCACGCTCCACCCCTCCTGAATCTACCGTACAACTGCGTTTACTGTAGAAAAGTAGAACTTGATCCCAGAATCACCACATTCATTCATCGTTCCTTCTAGCGTACCTGGAATTGGGAAGTGGATGCAGACTCAACGCCGCACGAGAGTAGGTCTCAGCAGTTCTCCACGAGCCTATTAATGCAAAAACGAATATGCGACAAAAGCTTCGTAAACGATTTCAAACGTTTTAGTGCTGGAACAATGAGTTTTCTGCGGAAATCGTATGTGAATTCGCGAATACTCCGGAGAAAGATATAGGATCCGGTAACGTTCATCCACACTTTTCGAAATGAATTTTTTGGTCTACAAGCTTCAACTTCCTTGGTGTTGAGTCAACTTCATTGTGAATGCCTGGAAAAACGTTTCGGTAGCTTGACCACATTCTTGTAGATAAGCTACTCTTGCCGGCTCACAAACGAGCACAACTAGCGATCAGCATAGACAGCGGTAGCTTGGACAGCGATGGAACCGGGGAAATCAAATAGTGTTGCAACAGTTTTGAATTTGTGGAAATAATCTACTTATTCTAATTTAGTTCGAAGCCTCTTCAGATTTTCAGACAGTCTGTGATAAATCAGTGAGTTTTTGTTGGAAACTAGCGAGTAAAAGATCACAGCTGTTTTACAATATTTGTTACCAGTAAAAATGTAATGGTGTTGCCTGGAAGAAATTGCTCGGAATTTCTTTCTGAACTTTCTGGTTTTCTGTACCTGCTAGGTTTCAACGTCACGCCATTTATTCCTGCTTTTTCGATAATCTTTGAATATGATTCAATTTTTCAGATTTTTATTGAGTTTTTATGTATACGAAGTTAGTAGGACGCACAAGAAAAAAGGCGAAAAATCGGAAAAACAGGAATCATGTACGGAGAAGAGAGTTCTGCCCGAAGAAAGATGGGCAAGGTTTGTTCAAAAATATTCGCGTCATGTGTATGACATTATCGAAGCATCTCCAATGTAAACGTGGCCAAATTTGCTGGAAATTTTCCAATAAGCATTTCATTGTAACACTTCAAGAAAACAATGTGACTACTGGCCTTATCTCCCATACTCGCTTTTTGTGTATTACGGTTTTCTGTTCATTTTTGTAGAGATCTATCCTTGTGCATAGGACTGTGCCAGTGGGTAAAACAATTAGAATTTCGACCAGCCTACTGTTACCACATCATTGTCTTCATTGTTTATGATGTCGCCTACTTTCCTACTTTTTTGTGGGCTGAATATTAAAAGGAAAGATTGACATGGGATATTCTTTCCGCCTAAAGGAAAACACTAATTTCATTTCTGGCCCTCTCTTTTTGTGAGCTGACACCACCATAACAAATTTTACAAGGGTTTTAAAACAGTTTGTTTTTTCGAAGCCATGAACTCTAGAGGTCAAACACTTCGCAAACTATTCTTTCGGGTACTACCTAAGGCTGCTTGAACTTTCAAGGAAGTTCGGATGAAAATCTATGCAAGGGTAAATTGAGCAAACATACAGGTCTTTCACTTGAGCCAGTATTCCATCAACGGTTAGCTGATGGGTGGCTTAACCAAAGCACGATTTCAACTGCTCTAATAATGTGAAGTGAATGAACGCTCAACAATCATTCACGATCATATAGTTGAAGCTAGCCTGACACAATAGATGTGAAAGAAGAAAGGCTTGAAAGGGTTAGCCATTTTTGGCGTGGAACTGAACAGTCGCAAGTGATTTCCGACCAGAAATCAACGTCAGGATTTCGAAGGCAGAAGAGATCGGAATAAAAAACAGTAATTAGGTTATCGGATGGCTCTTGCTTGCTTGAATCACTCGCTTAAGACAGTTCTACATCCATTCCAAAAATTCTCCACACATTTTGATGCATTCCCCATAAACTTCTCACCATCAGATAGCCCGACATGCTTCTCTTTTATTCAAATAACTTGACTTGCCTACTTTTTTAATGATTTAATAGAATATGGTCAAGTTCTTCGAACTCTTGGTTATCTTCGCGTATTGGTTTTTTGTTCTGATAACAAGGAAAGAGTGTGTCACATTCGTGGAAGGCTAAGAATTAAAGAGTACATCAGTACCGGTGATTTTGTCCTTGTCGAACTGAGGGACTATCAAAATTACGAGGTAAGCTTGTTCCATGTTTACCTTAACAGGAAAGTGTACCGTAATTAGCAGGAATTTCAGGGTGATATTATTCTCAAGTATACACCTACTGAGATCGAGCTTTTGAAGAAGAAGAACAAGCTGCCCGTACCACCGGAAACCGATGATCGTCCCTTGCATTTATACGGTCAGATTGCTAATAGGCTCGGCAAGGGACGCGTATTAGCCTTCTGTATCGACGGCAAGCAAAGGGTGTGTCGCGTTCTAAACAAGGAGCGGATGGAAAGAGGCGATATTATTCTTGTCGAATGCAGGGATCACCAAGGTTATGAGGTTTGTCTTTCTCATTCTTCTTGATAAGTGAGATGTTCTCCTGTTATTTTGCGAGCGCATAGAGAATATGAGTAGTTTCCAGAACGATGTTATTCACAAGTGCGCACCTGATGAAGCCCAGCGTCTAAAGGATGCAAATGAATTGCCCTATTACATAAAGGTCAATAACGGTGCTTTGTTAGAATATGGTCAAGTTACTCAAGTGCTTCGATATTGTCGTGTGCTGGTCCAATGTTTTGATGGTGAACAGAGAATATGTCGCATTCGACGGAAGCGTGAAAAGGCAGTCATCACAGGCATCCGGCCTGGTCACGTTATTCTCGTTAGTCTCAGAGACAGTAAAGATTGCAGGGTATGATCTTTTTTACACATCTTACTATAACAACTATCTCTTTTGTTTTTTTTTTTT